ATCCAGAGAAGCAGCAACACCAGAGATGTAGACAGAGATGAGGACATGGAGATAGAGCAGCTAAGGACACTAGACTCATGGAAAGAGAAAGGTTGTGGGGTGGCGGACAAGAGGTAGGCTTGCAGAATGTGCTCTTTGGTTGTTTAAATGATTATATATTCCTGAGTGTTTTTGTGTACATCCAAAAAAAAACACAAAACACCAAGGGAATAAAAGTAAATTCTGTTGAATGATGATGCACGAAGAAATTGCAATCATTGCAATGAATTGATGAGTGTAAAAGCAATGTTCTCCCATATAAATGATCACTCGATTCACAATAAAAAATCATATATATATTAAAAAAAAAAAAAAAGCAATGGAGTGGGACCTTTAAAGTGGCAAAAGAAAAAATACTCTGTCAATTGAGAATTCTATATCCAGCAAAAATGAATTCTATGCCCTTTAAAAAGGTAGAAAATTAAGACTTTTCAGACAAACCAAAACAGATAAACTATTATCAAATTTGTACTACAAGAAACATTAAGTAAAATTATTTAGGTAGAAAGCATATGCCAGACAGAAACTTGGATTTCCACAAGAAATGAAGATGCCATGGAGAAAATGGCATAAATGAAGACAAGCATAATTTTTCTCCTTTATTTTTACTAGTTTAAACCAGAAAATGGCAAACTGCGGCCTGCTAGCCAAATCAAGTTTTTCCAAACAGTCTGTGGGCTAAGATATTTTTATGACTTGGGGGGTGGTGGTCAAAACAATAATAATACTGCATGACACATAAAAATTACATGAATTTCAAACTTCACTGCCCATAAATAAAATTTTGTTGGAATACAGCCATGGCCATTCATTTGTGCATTCTTTTACATCACAACTGCAAAACTAATTAATTGCAACAGAGACCGTATGATTAACAAGGCTGAAAATATTTACTATCTGACAGCATAGTGCATTACACATTGGGATGCTGACCACAATGTCAGCAGTTTGAACCACCAGCTGCTCCACAGGAGAAAGATAACACTTTCTGTTCCCATGAAGACTTTGGCCTTGGAAACCCTATACAGGGTCACTATGAATCAGAACTGACTTAACAGCACACCATCACCACCACCACATTTGCAGAGAAAGATTCTGGTTTCTGCTTTAAAAGATAACTGATAGTTTAAAGAAAAACCGTATCAATGTATTGTGTATTCATGTTGCTGTTGCGCTGCCGATTCAAAGAGACCCTTGACAGGGTTCCCAAGGCTGTGAATCTCTGTGGGAGCAGAAATTTTCATTTTTGTCCTACAAAGCATCTGGAGAGCTCAAACCACAACCATGTGCAGTCAAGTGCTTATCCTATAAAGCCAAGGAATCCACTGAGTATTCACAGCATATGTAAAAGAAAATGTATGACAATAACACAGATAAGGAGAGGAACTGGAAGTACACTGGATTAAGATTCTTATACCACATGCGAAGTGCTGTATTATATGAAATTAGACTCAAGATGTATGTTATAAATCGTAAAGCAATCTCTAAAAAATTTTAAATATGAGGGGGCTTCAAAAAGTTTGTGGAAAAACAGAACTAAAAGGTAAAGGAATTTTTGCACAAAATGTTTCCACTTTAAAAATGCTTATTGCAATATGCAAAAGATTGAAACAAGACCTTCACCTCACACCTTATACAAAAACCAACTCAACATGGATTAAAGACCTAAATGTGAATCCCAGAATTATGAACGTCATCAATGAAAAAATAGGGATAAATGTGAGGGCACTAATTCAGGGAATACACAGACTACCAAACATTTTGAAAACTACACAAACAAAAGTAGACAAAATAAATGAGTGGGAAATACTAAAAATTAAAAACTTATGTGCATCAAAAGATTTCACCACAAGAGTAAAAAAGGAACCCACAGAATGGGAAAAAATCTTTTGCAATGACACATCAGACAAGGGACTTATTTCTAAAATATATAGGAAACTACAACACCTCTACAAGAAAATGACAACAACAACAAAAATAAATTAAAAAATTGGCTCAGGACATGAGGAGACACTTCACCAAGGAGGAAATCTGGACAGCCAACAAACATATGAAGAAATGTTCACGATCACTAGCCATTAGAGAGATGCAAATCAAAACAACAATGAGATATCATCTCACACCAGCAATAACAGCAAAGATCAAAAAAGTAGGAGGCAATAAATAATGGCGGGGATATGGAGAGACTGGGACACTCCTGCATTGCTGGTGTGATTGCAAAATGGTCCAACCTCTCAGGAAAGCAATATGGTGCTCAGAAGGTTGCGAATAGAAATACCTTATGATCCAGCAATTCCTCTACTTGGTATTTACCCACAAGAAATATGAGCCATAACACGAGTAGATATATGCACACCAATGTTCAGAGCAGCACTATTTACAACAGCAAAAAGATGGAGACAACCACAGTGCCCATCAACTGAAGAATGGATAAACTGCGGTACATACACACAATGGAATATTATGCTACCTTGAAGAACAATGAGGAAGCTGCAAGCCACCACATAACATGGATGAACCTTGAGGACATTATGCTGAGTGAAATTAGTCAGTCACAAAAGGAGAAATACTACACAGGATCACTACTGTAAAAGACTAAGAAAAAGAACCCATATTAAAGCTGGGGGAGATTCTTTGCTGGTTACTGAGATGTGGTGGCGGGGGGGGTGAGAGGAGGGAGGGGAAGGTACAGCACAGGTTGCTGAGGAGGGGGGCAATATACAAGAAGGGGGAGGATAATAGAAGAACAAGGTAGACAGGAGAACAATTAGGCAGGTTTGCATGGACTAAGTGGGACAGAGGTAAATAATGATGGATGTGTAACCTTGGAACAACAGGGCTCTGGGATACAGTGATTGAGACATGGTTGGAATGGGGGAAAGGGGAGAATTAATGTTAAGATCCTTGGCAGTCTTTTGAATCTTGGTTTCCCTTGCATACCATTATAAAACAGATATTGGAAGGGGAGAGAAAGGAATAGCCAGAAATATCACCATAGAAAGCTTGTAAGTCCGTCTTCTGCTTATAACTGATTGGAATACCTAAAAGAGGGGATACAATGTGCCCAGGGAAGGAGGTTTCCTGCAGAGCCTCTGCATTACATAAGACTATAGGTGGAATCCTGAACAGTATCCAGAATCTTCAGAGGTGGGAAATTTCCACTTGAAAGGACAAGCAGACTAGCCTGAAGTGGCTAGAAGAACAGAAGATACTTCGTAAAAGAAAGACTTACAGGAAAAATACAAAACAATAATGGCAGACTGATTGATTACTACAACAACATGCAAGTTGCTTGCCCAGGAGACATCAAGGCAAGTGGTCGGGTCCCCTCAGAACAAACCCCCTTCCAAGACTAAGACTCAATGGGAATACACGCTCTGATTGGTGACCACTTTCGTCATCGATAAGGGGAAGTGAGGGAAAAACAGCAATGAAGCTGCAAGCTAAGCCCTACAACGTTCCAGACTCCTGTGAAGCCAGGTGGAGACCTGGTTGGCCAGCAGTGTGGGAAGACCTGGGAATTCCTGGGCCCAGAGTCAGTGACATAGGCACAGAGGACTAGAGTGGAGAGTGAAGCATCCAGCTGATAAGAAGAGAGGGCATATACATAAGAACACCCACATTTGCAGATAATACCCACTTGACCTGGCTTCAATAACTGGATGATCAGAGCTCAACTAGAAGAAGAAAGAAGAGTAATCTGATACAATTTGATGAACTTGACCTACACCTATGGAAGTAGTAGCTCAAAAGAGGGAACAAATCTTTACAGCAAAGATCAATCCCACCCCCTCCATACACAGAGTAGACAGGGATGGGTAACTTGGACACTGGCTACCCAAAATGGGGGGGGGACAAAGGCAAGTAGTGACTTGCTTACAAGCTTTCAAGAGAGAGCTTAGATCCAGAGGGTGCAGAGGAAGGTAGAATCTCCACTGAGTGATATCCAATCTGTCTAGGTGGGGCTGATGAAAGGAGATGGGGATAGGTCTCTTGTGATACAATAGTGAATAATTGTTATTAGGACTGACTGTGAGGGTTGGAAATGTAAAGGTAGACGTTTTGTAGCAAGGAGGGGAGTGGTTAACTTTGCAGTCCAGGAGCAGAGGTCCCTGGGACCATCAAGAGAGAATACCGGAGTGCGGGACCCTACCCAGAGAACAGAGACGCTGCTGTGGCCACCACTGCCCAGTCTTCCAGTCTTTGCCAACAGCTCTGACAGCAGTAATGGCAGCAGTGGCAATGAGAATGACTGGAAGTGGGCTCCCACAGGCTTCAATATGGTGTTTACACAACATCCAAATCACATAACATCCTATTTCACAGAACATAGGGCAGACATCAAGCAATGCATACCTGTACCAAAAAGCACAACCCTACATAAAAATAGAAAACGTCTCATTCCTCAGATATACTTGAATCAGTTCTTTAACCTCAAGGCTTAACAAATAAAATACTGTCAACTAGAACTTTTAAAAGCATATTTAGGGGTGTAGGAAAGAGCCATCATTTATAAAACATCTTCTAGATGCCAAACATTTTTTTAAAAAATCACCTTGCATTCTTACATTAACCCTACAAGTATTATATCCCATTTAGTAGATGAAGATACTAAGTTCAAAGATGTTTTGTTATTCAATATCACAGCCATATTAGGTATCTTAATTAAGTTCCAGATATAGATCTGACTCCAAAAATTACATTCTTTCCACTCTACTGTATATAAAATTCTCATTATTATAAGTATACAATATTAATCAGGAAACAATCATTTAAATTGAAGATATAACTCCATTTCCTCTCCCCAACATCAAGTTTGCAATATGAAACTATATAGCTTGATATTACTATTCCTGATGAGTATATAATGTATATAACTACCTTTCAGTTCTACATAATTTTAAATTGAGCACCATGTCAGTAAAAGCAATCAAGAGATGCTGGTGATGGTGATGATTTACCTTCACTTGTAGCATGGGTTGAAATTCTCTCACAAGCTTCATGGAAGAGTCATATATAGAATTTCCAATTTTTACTGACTCCAAAAGTGGTACAGGGCGAAAATCCGTGTGATAGAGCTCAGCATTCAACCAGGAAGCCACAAGCTCCAAATTAGGAAGAGTAGCACTCATTCCAATAATCTGCACAGCATTAGACTGAAGATTGGCCAAATCTGCCTGGCTGTGTAAAGCAAATGAGAATAATGTTAAAAGATACGAGTATTCATTACAAATATCACTGCTAACAGTTTTCTTGGTCATGTCCTCTGATACACATATACATGTTTTTCTTTTTGGAAACTAGGGGAAAAATTATTGGATCATAGATTATGATTGCCTTCAATTTTAGTAGATGTATGCCAGATAGTTTCCAAAAGTCTTATCTGAGTAACACCTTACAATCTGTGTGTTTCACTGCTTCACATCCTTACTTGGTATTGTCAATCTTTTTAATGTTAGACATTATGCTGGGTGTGTGGTAATATTTCCTCAAAGACGTAATTTACATTTTCCCTGATTGCTAATGATATTGAGCACTATTTCATATTTATGGACCATTTGGATACCTATTTATAAAAACCTGAAGTCCCTTGCCCACTCATATTTGTGGGTTTTCTAACTGATTTTATTTGTAGGAGTGTTTTCAATGTTCTGAATAGTGACTTTCCTCTTTCATTAATTTTTGCTTTTGTCTTTATTATTTCTTTCCTTCTACTTTCAGTGGTACTGTGATTTCTTTGTCTTCTTGAGATTGATACTGAATCTGATTTTTCAGTCTGTCTTTAGTGGCATATACATTTTAACTATCAATTTCTCCGCAAATACAACTTCATTGTATTTTATAAGTTTCACTAGAAGAAACTGTTATTATAATTTCAGTTAGAACTTATTTTACTTTCTATTTTACTTTTTTACATTAAAAAAGAGTTCAAAATATATTTCTTAATTTCTTCTAGTTATGCTGTTCTTACATTTTTTTCTAGCTTTATTTGACTTTTGCCAGATATATTTTTTAAACTATATAAAGCCTTTGAAATGTGTTGAAACTTGCTTTCTGCTTTTTGTAACTCTGCTATTGTTTGGTACATTGCTCTACACACAACTATTAGTTCACATTTGCTGACTGTGTTAGTCATATCGTCTGTATGCCTACTGATCTGAGATACAGATGGTTATCTGTTAGTTCTATCACTCACTGAGAGTACCAAACATTCATCAAACGGAAAGGCAAGAGCTACTAGATTGAAAAAACCTAATGAATACTCAGCACAATGAATGGAAACAGACTACCAACACCAAGACATATCAGTGGTAAATCTTACAATACTAAGGACTCCACAGAGAATGAAAAAGTTTTGTACAAAGAATGAAAGATCAGCATAGCACTGAATTTCTTAGTAGAAAAAAATGAAGGAGGCCTGGTGATGCAGTGGGTTATTGGGCTGCTAACTTCAAGGTTGGTGGTTCAAACTCACCAGTCACTCCATGGGAGAACAATGATAAGCAGATTGCTCTCATAAAGATTTATAGCCTCAGAAACCCATAAGGAGCAGTTCGACCTTGTCGCTACGAGTCAAAATCTAGTGATGAAAGTGGGTTGGGAAGTTTTTTGGTTAGAATACAATGAAGTACGGCTTGACCACTCTGAAAGAAGAGTATTTCCAATCCTGACTTCTATACTTGAATAGTATATGAATTAAATATAAGACATTCAGACTTAAAATACATAAAAAAAAAATCTAAGCCCATACACCTTTTCTTCAGAAGTTCCCAGAGGATATTCCTATAAATATGAAATGGTAAATCAAGAAAAAGACATGTGATTCCAAAACAGAGGCTCTGACTCAAGCAAACGGCAGTGTGAATGAATGATGATGATAGAGGGAGGTCCTCTAAGATGACTGCTATCTAGCACATACATAGATTAACCTATCCAAATCAGAACAAGGCAGAAGGTTATTGTTGTTAAACGCCATTGAGTCGTTTCCAACTCATAACAATCCTGTATAGGGTATCCAAGATGCAGCTAAAGGTTGAACTGCGGCCTTGTGGTTAGCAGTCCAGTGCTTATCCTACAGCGCCACACCAGGACTTAGAAGGTATCGGACAGACTTTTCTAATAAGATGAAACTGGTAAATATGTTGAAATGTATTGGCTAGAGATTTACACAACTAGGGGAGATACTGAGGACAGATTAGTGGGAAGTCCAAAGAAACTGAGCCTTTAATCAAAAAAGGACATTAATTTCAGAGAAAACAAAGTTATTTAGAGAAGTAAAAATAATCTTAGTATAGTGCATGGTTCAGTTGACATTCACACTTATATAGTCAAAAAAGTGTAATAAAATTCCTGGGTGGTACGAACAGTTAATGTTCTTAGATGTTAACCAAAAGGTTGGTGGTTCAAATCCACCCAGAGGTGCCTTAGAAGAAAAGCCTAGTGATCTACGAGTACTTCTAAAGTATCAACTCTGTGGTACACAGTTCTATTCTGACACACATGGGTCACTATGAGTTGGAATCAATGACAACTGATTCTTTAATAATGTAACAAAGAACACAGATCTAAGCAAAGTTATGACATAATTACACGAGAGGGCTTCAAAAAGTTCATGGAAAAATTCCATTATCTTTTCATTCCATTGTTCTACAAGCTTTTTGAAGTCCCTTCAGTATTATATTTAGACAATGGAAAGATGATGAAAGATTGAAAGAGAGACTATAGGACTCACATTGTAGAAGGAATGTGAGTAGGGGATATATAAAAAATATGAAAAAGTGCTAGATCACCCACCACCTTCTGTAGTAAGGAGTCAACCAATAACATCTAAAAATTAAAAATCAAGTAGTTATATTTAGAAATAAAGCTGTAAATAAAATATTAAAAAGAAAAATAGAAAGTACTCTGGAGAGTATGGGCCAAAGAAATGCGGTTTATCAAAATTAGCCTTGACTGTAGGATAAGCACTGGATTGCTAAGCACAAGGTCAACAGTTCAAACCCACTAGCCATTCCTTGGAAACCCCATATAGGGTCGCTATGAGTCAGAACAAGCTTGACGGTAATTAACAATAACTTAAATTATGAAGCCCTGATGGCACAGAGATAAACTACATGACTGAAAACCTAAAGGTCAGCAGTTCAAACCCACCAGCCACTCCATGACAATCTGCACCCATAAAGATTTATACATCGGCAACCTGACGCTGCAGGGTCACTAAGACTCTGAGTAGACTCAACAGCAATGGATTTTGAGTTTTACTTAAGTTAATGCGTCCATAATTAATATATGTTAATCACATGACAAATACTCACCCTCTGCCATTGAGTTAATTCTCATAGTGACCCTATACAGGGTTTCTAAGACTGTAAAACTTTATGAGAGCAGACAGCCTCATTTTTCTCCTGTAGAGCAGCTGGTGGGTTTGAACCACTGACCTTGAGGTTAGCAGCCCAATACTTATCCTACAGTGCCACTGGGGCTCCCTGTGACAAATATAAAAGCTAGATTTAAAAAAAAAAAAACTATCATAAAAATATGTACACTGAAATCAAACAAAATAAGCACTCAGAAATTTAAGAATTCTTTCAGAGTAATCCAAAATCAACCTCAGACTGAAGTACTTCTTTCGGAAAAGCACTACCCTCTGACTTTATTTTATTTAACCCTCATTATACACTTAATGTAACACTTTCTCAACATTGCTTGTGATCTCAAAAACCCAGTTATTTCATGTACTCACCAAGATGCTGATTTCTGAGTAAGATAGCAAATCTTGGTCAGCAAAAGTTCCAGCAGATAGCCTCGGTGAGAGTCTCCCAGCATATGCAATTCATCCACAACCACCATTCCTAAAAAGATTTTCCAGATACTGGGTTCAACAAAATTTCACAGTTCTGAGTAGAGTTTTAAAAGACTCAGTATTTCATCTTATACAGTAAATAGCAGTCATTACAAAATATTGAAGGCTATGTAAATTTCTAACCATAAAACAAAAATTAGATTATACATAATGGGCAACTCCTTTTCAAGATGTTTCAGGATGTCATAGGGGCTACTGCTACAATAAAAGTATTTGGGATCATAACATAAAATTTAAAAAAAAATGATTTGGGATCTAAAAATCAATTCTTTGCTTACTTAGGAATAACCAAATCCAGGAAGAACTGCCTCTTTATACTCAGTCACTTCTAAGTTGACAATCTTGTGGAAATAAATATACAATGAGATATCAAAGACATATATCTATGTCAATTACTCAGTGTAGTGGCTTTTCTATGGGAAAACAAATGGGCACCTATTCTCATGTCAGCAAGATACTTGGAAACACATAATCAGATCAAGAAGAAAGAAATTATTTTACGGAATTGTTTTGTTTGATTATAGTAGGCTGGTGGGAATAAGCACTAGACTGCTAACCACGAGGTTAGTGGTTCAAACACACCAGCCACTCCTCAGAAACCCTATTCAGGGTTGCTATGAGTCAAAACTGATTCAAAGGCACTTACAACAACAACAACAACAACAACAGTTAAGGACCTTTCTTCAAAGCAAAAAATATAATCATAACACCTTATTTACTAATTGGAGAACTGGCTCAGTCTATGCTGGTGGAACAATGCTCAATAAATACTGAAAAAATAGCATCAATGCCTTCTTTAGTTAAATGTTTCATAACATTATCATTGCCAAGTGTTTTAGTATCTCCCTTCAAAACCCCACCTGCAATAAACACTATTTATTTCCTTTTGACACATGATGTTCTTTTACCTTATCTGTATACTATCTCCAAGCCATGAATTATTTCAACATTTATTCATTCATCTGAAAAATACTTGTTCTACCTAGTGTGTCAGACACTGTGCTAGTTACATTGGATATAACACTCAAGATCCAATCTCAATCCTCAGGATAGTTAAAGAACAATGGGAGGCACAAGTACTAAACATACTCTGATACAAACTGATACGTGTGATTTCTCTTTGTTGTTGTTATTAAATAACATGGAGTGGATCTGACCCACAGCGACCTTGTATAGGGTTTCCAAGGCTGTAAATGTATGTGGGAGCAGAAAACCTCATCTTTCTCCTATGAAGCAGCTGGTAGGTTCAAATCACTGACCTTGTGGTTCAAAGTCCAATGCTTATCCTACAGAGACACAGCGCTTCCAAATTCTCTCTAAAGAGCTTTTAATAATAAGACCCCATGTATTATTACACTTTGAGTCCCATTCCAACTTTACCATGTTATTTTAAGTTCAGCAGCTAACTAGCAACTACTGCTATTGCTAAAACCCACTGACACCGAGTTGATTCTGACTCATAGCAATCCTGTATAGGATTTCTGAGGCTGAAATCTTGAAGGGAACCGAAAGCCTCATCTTTCTCCTGTGAAGCAGCTGGTGGGTTTGAAATGCTAACCTTATGGGTAGTAGTCCAGTGTATATCCTCCAGAGCAACCAGCACTCCTGGGCCTTCCATAGTAGTTTTTTTAAAAAATTAATAAGGTAGAAAACCTTCCTAGAGTCCCAAGCTCAAATACAGTGTCAGTTTCTGTTGCTCTCTACTGTTACCCTGCTCAATGGTCTCTGGGTCTGGGCCTAATCTAGACATCGTATCACCAGAATATGACAATAAATACACATATATACTGATTGTGGAAATGTACACCCAGCCCTAACATGCTTCCTTCTATTCCTGGTACAGTTTGACCAGGAAAGAAGCAATAATTCAAGGGCTCACAGATACCTTCCACAGCTTGTCAAGTACAAAAAAGGCAAGACAGTGTAAGCAATAACAACAGTTGAGCACAAAACATATACTTACCTTTTTTCTAAAACAAGTCCTAACATTACAGATGTCAATTCTTGCCTCCAAAAGTAGATGACAAACAACAGGAAAATAACATAGGATGCATAAAAATAACAACAGCTCCACTCCATTCCATCAAAAATAGCAACAAAAGCATTTGCTTATTTTCCTATTTGTCTTACCTAAAAGATCCATCTTATTTTCCCCTATGAGGCGATTGACCAGACCATTGGCTCTCTCGATTGTGCAAACAGCAATATCCAAGGAAGAGAAATGCCTTGCTGGAGAGGTACTGCCCATATACCCATCTACTTTTATTCCAACATCTTGAAACAGGCTCTGAATTGAGTAAAAAGGAATAATACATGTAAAAATTATTTGAGATACATGAACTGTAAATCAAAGCACAAATTGGTTCTATCCCAGAACACAAACATAGGTATCAATGAACATTTATCGTTAGCTGTCAGTAACTCCTGGCCAGGATCTAGTGGTTCTTTTTTTATATTTTTATACAAAACATAAGAAGTTTAAAATTAATAAAACTCGGTAGAGATTTTCTGTTAACACCAGAAAACAAACAAAACCACTGCCATTGAGTAGATTCTGACTAAAAATTTAATGTCATTTTAAAGACAGCACTAATCAAAGCACTTCTAAGAGCTATTTACATAAAGTAGATGAAGATTAATTTCAGCACTACCATTTTTGATCAAATAAATATAAAAGAAACTAGTTATTTCTACAATGCCAATAAAACAATGCATACAAATTTTTAATAAACAAATGTATACTTCATAAGGAAAATACTCTCATTATCCCACTAAAGATCTCTCTATATAAAGAAAGAATAGCTTTAAAGCAGAGGTGGGGACCATCTGGCCCAAGTGTCCTATATGGCCCAGGAAATCATCTGGTCTAGCCCTGCCAAGGCAACCACAGTTCCAGCCATCACACTAGAGATGAGTTCATGAAATGTATGACCAAATATAGCAGGCTAATTTTTTTTTTAACTTTTTATTGTGAATTGAATGAAGGTTTACAGAACAGATCATCAGTTTTACATCATTACAATGATTGCAATCCCCTCCATGTACCAACAGTTTAACAGTATTTACCTCTATTCACTTTTACTCTTGCATTCTTCCGTGTCTCCCTCTACCTTCATCTTTCCTCTGCTAACCTCCCTCTCATTGTATATTGCCTGCCCTGTCACTCTTGTTAACATGTGTCTATCCTCTAGCCTGTGAATAATTTTCCCTCCCCAAATCCCTTGTAACCATCATAGATAGTTTCTTTCACTAAGAAAAAAATTTTCCTTAACTTTTGACAACATTCATCTCATATATATTAGTCCTTTTGTGATTAATTACACTCAGTGAGTGTAATGTCCTGCAGCTTCATCCATGTGATGAGGTGTTTCATAGATTCACTGTTATTCTTCAACATATTCCATTGCATGTATGTACCAAAGTTTATTGAACTATTCTGTTTATGGGAATTTTTGTTGTCTCCATCTTTTTTTTTTTTTTTTTTATAAATGTTTTATTGTGAATTGTGT